CCCACGGGCTTGAACCGCTCACGGCTTGAGCCAAAATGGCTACACAAGTACGAACTCTCTCGCTCTCTCTCTCTGCCTGAGCTGAAGGGAATTCCACTTGCCTGTGATGCATCAGAGATGCCAATGTGCTGTCACTCATGCCTTGCCTTGACCTGACAGAACCTCGTTCCCCCATCAAAAAAAAGCAAGCTTTCACTTCTCCGACGGGCGCTTGCCAGTCTAACGTGCGAGGGGCCGTTGGGCCGTTGACCCTCTTCCTGCATCCTGATAAGTCTGTTGAGAAAGCTTGTTTCAGGATCAGCAAGTACGTCTTAACAGCTGATGGCTCGTGGACTCGTGCACCTATGAGCTTCTGACTTCTGTACTTAAGAGCAATCAGAGCCAGCGACACCCTGCAACAGATGCCACTGTCGCTGCAGCGCCGCCTGGTTTAAATGCTCCATGGGGTGAGCGTGAACAACAGCGGACGCCAAACTGCCTGTAGCTTGTAGGGTGAACGCAGAGTGGATCGATGCCTGAAGCCAAGAAAAACGGCTTGCATCTGGCTGCAGCTAAAGCAGATCCACGGATCTCCAACAGCCCAGAAACAGCAGCATGGATTCGAGAACAGCCCAATCAAAAGCCATGGATACCTTCAAAGTTGCCGCAGAACCTCGGCCACAGCTGATGCCACAATCGAAGATGAAGGTTGGCCGTGTGCAAAAGATGGTGTCGGCCTCGAAGGTCAGCTCTGGCTTAGCAACCCACTGGCATGTCTCACTTTTGCTCGTACTTTCCATCTGAAGGCGGTGCACACCGAAGTTTCCTGTCCCTGTGCCGCATGTCAGACTTCCTTCCAAACCTGGACAACTCATGGTCAGAGTCAGAACGATGAATCTGATGGACGTTACATAAAGAATGACGCGCGGAGACATCTGTGGACATGTGTGCGCACGTCACGCTCTGTCTCTGTGGCTCCTGCCTGGCACTCGCGGAGGCCCCGGGGCTGGGCCCGGAGGACATGGCCTTGGGAACTTCGGGCCAATGCGACGACCTGAGATCCTGTGCTCACCTCTTCGCGTCTTGCACCCCCCCCCCCCTTCTTCAAGCGCGCTCCGGCAACCCCTGGAACGATGCTTGCGCATGCTCCCTAGCTAGCTGACTTGGTCAGCATCAAAAGGAGGCTATCCAGCAACTCTGTGAAGCTGCAGAACAGCCGCCATTGTGCAGCTTGTTCAGTGCTGCCCAGCGCCATCGTGTAGATGCACGGGCTGTGAAGACCACGATCCATGGAAAGCTGAACCATGCGCAACACCCACTGCCAAGTCCTGCCGTGCAGGACGCAAGCATCATAAACTGCATTGCACCATCATTTTTCTATGCGACTGCAGGCAGCACCTGACCTGACCAACAAGCCCAGGTGAGACAGAAGCACGTGCAGCAACGGCCCCTTTAAACGACATCAAGCCGTCAAGCCCAATGTTCTAATGCGCTCGGAATGTTGCAAGGTGACTAGACATCCACTGTAGGATGAGTCAGATTCGCAGAATTCCAACCACATCACATTGACTTCCTCGTTGTAGTAGTACTATATAGTCGTCGTCGTTGTGGTGGTGGCAGTGGCAGTGCCAGTGGCAGTGGCAGCAGTAGTGGTGGTGGTACTGGTAGTGGTGGCAGTGGCGGTGGCGGTTGCGCCGGCAGGAGCAGTGGCAGTGGTAGTAGCAGTAGTGTCCACACGCCCTATGGCTGAGGCGATGGTATTCCTGCTGCCTCAAAACATCGCGCCTGGATGCTGCACATCCACTCATGGCAGAATTGAGCCCGATACCATCCAATTCCAAACGTAAGAGCGGAACGGCGTGTGTAAGCTGCAAGGCATGTTGCCAGCAGGCACCTCTTTCGCATGCAGACAGCACAGAGTTGTAGTGCACCTGACCAAAGTTGGGATGGCGGGGCATCAGCCTTTGAGCTGCTTGCCTCCAGTGCCCCGAGGTGGCAACCGAATGCAGTACTGTTGCTGCAGTCCGAGAATCTGGTGTCAAGACTTTACCTGTCATGTCTTGATGCAAAAGATCCACAATCTCCCACTTGGAACACGTTGCAGTTGCCCCCATGGCTGCATTTGCACAACCCACATCTGGCAGAACGCTTGCCTTGCGAATGCCTTGCAAGAGCTGCAGCCCGACCTCCCACTCGTAAGCCGCCTCACAGGCACTCAAGGCGGTGGTGTAGCTTATGTGCCCGGGATTCCTGATGCTTCGGAGCAAAGCCAGCGAAGCTTGCCAAAGACCACGCTGACATGCACCCATGCATGCATTGGTAACACCGCGGTCGCGGCTAAGGAACTTGCCGCCGACAGCGAGGGCATGCAACCACTGGCCAGAAGCTCGAAAAGCCTTAACGACAGCACTGCAAGCCACCGCGCTGCGTGTGCCATGTCGGTAGAACATGGATACAGCAGATTGCCAGGATGCTGCATCACCACATGCACTGATAGCTGTGCTGAATGTCACGATGTCCCCAGACATCTGTAGTCCCAGGCAGGAGCCGAGAATGCGAAGTGTGCTGCACCAGTGGCGTGCAGATGCCATGACGGTGTTGAGAGTAATCAGGTCCGGCCTTACCTTCTTATGCGCCAGGGAAAAGAAAGTTGTGTGCGCCTGCTGCCACATATCGCATCGGCCCTGTGCGTGCATCAGGGCATTGAAGCTGTCGATGTCTCCGAAGGACCGGAGCAAGGCAACAGACTTTGCCCACACCAAGTTCTTTGAGCAAAGAGCAATGGCACTCCGAAAGCTCGTCAGGCTTGGAGTCACAAGCATATCGCTTGCCTGGAAGAGGATTTGTAAAGAGATCGTCCAACGAAACTGTGCAGAGATGCGCCAGCTGCTCCGTGCAAGTGGCAGCGGTCTGCTCGAACCCATGGGCAATCGGCCGACATCTACACGTCCATATTTGAGTCGTGCCCGCTGCGGCGCACACAGCCAACTTGAGTCTTGACCGCGACTTTGTCCCGTTACAAGGGCTGAAAACCTGTAAACCTTGGCATGCGGCATGTTTGCAAGCCCTCCTATCTACTATCTGTTACTATCTACGGTCGGAACTTGGAGAGCTTTAGGAACAGCCTTTGTAGGTGCACTGGGTTGGATTGCCCGAACCACTTGGCGGCTGACGTGTACAGTCTCGAGTCTCTAAGACTCTAAGATTCGCTCGACATGTTGAGGAGTCGCACAGCAACACTCCCCATGTTCGCACTTTCGGCAGGCACGCTGGCAAAGAACTCCCGTGCAATTCCTGCCAGCAACTCTGGGATCCTGTGGACCAGGTCGTGGCTCTCACAGATTCCAAGGACAAGATTGCAGCTTGTGATATCCAGCCTCCAGCTACTTGCCATGTCATCCATAACTTGCAGTGTGGTTTGCCAGCAACTGTCTGAGCTGTGCGCTCTGCAGGCTGCAGCAGCCGAGCTGTAAGAGATCTGGTTTGGCACAATGCTCCACTCTGCCATCCGAAACAGTAAGGACAAAGGAGCTCGCCAAACGTCAGCATCTTCACCGGTCTCGCATGCACTAACTGCAGCACTGATGCTGACAGCATCCAGCCTCAGCCGATGAGCCCGGACACCATAGAGAAGCTGAAAAGCTGTTTTCCATCTCTGGGCCTTCTCACAGACGCTTATTGCAGCACCGAAGCAGACTTCATCGAACACTGCCAAGCTCAGAAGCCAAACCGCAATCTGCCAGAAACCTCTTGGCTCGCAGGCATTGATCGCAGCACTGCAAGTCACCACAGTCTGCTGCAGAGACTCTCGGGACATTTGCGACATCAACCACGGTATGGTTTGCGGGCTAGGACCACACGTCTCAAAAACGGCTCTGTAGCTCGCCTCATCTGGTGCTATGCGGCAATCCATCATCCTAAGGAAAAATCCGACCGCACGTGGCCAGAGGTGCTTCATTGCTTGAATGACACAGTTCTTTGCAACAATATCTGGCCGTAGCCTCGAAGCTTTCATGAGTGAGTACACATCTACAGCAATTCCCCATTTCCCTGACTTGGTGCACGTGTCCAGTATGGAGTTTAATCTAAGAAGGTCGGGCCTAGTGTGTCTTTCAAGGCCCCGGATTGCCCAACGCCAGCGGCTGAGGCAGGTGAAGAGAGCATTGAAGGAACCGCCATCTCTGCGCAGGCCCAGAGTCCACATCCGCGAGACCACTGCCAGTGATCGCTGCCAAGTCCCTCTGCCAATCGAAGCGCGGAAGCATGCCATGTCCAAATCCACGTGGTCTAATAGGACCTGGGCCGCTGGCCAGCTTTCACAGGAGAGCAGAGAGCTGCAGGTGTACTGGTCCGGCTGCACCGCTCCTTGGCGCATCGCAAGCATCGCAATTGCCTGAGCGGCTTCCCAGCGTCGCTTCTCTGTGCAGGTCTTGATCAAGACGTTGTGCGTGATCTGATCAGGGGTGATCAGAGCACGCTCACGGGCGACAGTTGAGGCGGCCTGCCGCCAAGCAGAGAAAGGATGCATCGAGCTGAGCAAGGAGTTGAGACTGACCACGGTCAGGCACAAAGAGCATGACCTCATGTCCTGCAACAGGGCTGCGGCCAGTGACCATGAATAGCACCGCCCTGTTGCAGCAATGACGACATTGACGGTAACAGTGGTCAACAGATGCTGCGCTCGCAAATTCGCCAAGAGGGCCAACGCCGCATCTGTTTGCCCTTTCTTCACCAAGCCGTTGAGCACAGACGCTGGCGATTTGGGTAAAGTATGCGATGCGTGCCGGGCCATTCCACAAGCAGCCAGTACGTAGCTACGGCGTCTGCTACGGCATGCTGCCGGAAAGAAGCTTGCTGCAAGCGACGTGCGTGCCTGCCGTGCCTTTCATGCATCCGCAAAACAGCAGCGAGCAAGTTGACTGCCAAGGGCCAAGGGGTCGACCGAGCGGCGCCGGGAGATCTCGAGGATGTTCTGGAGCACCTGCAAGAAGGCCGGGCTCCGCTCAGGCCACGACCTGACCAAGACTAGCTGAGAGCGCCCGGGAGATCTTCCCGAACCGGTGCCCTGCGAAATGGCCGGCAACGTGGCCTGACAAAAACGGGTTCAACTCTCGATGGAAGACAGCTTTGTCAGTAAGCAAGCCGGGATGACGGACATGTGCCTAGACAACGCGACAAACCATATTTCTAGCAAATGCTACCTGGTCTTCATGTCTCTTTACAAGTAAGATAGCTGCCCTGGCGGCCCTGGCGGTGGCGTGAAAGATCTTGGCGGGGTAGTTGAGCGCGAGACGGGTGGCCTTGACTTTGTATCAGTAACCACTGGCAGCGACATGCAGCTGTTGCCGGTAAGAGCATTGCAGCAACTCAACTTGCCAATTCGTGCACAAGCGCCGCACGTGTTGCCAGGTGTGCATGCTGGAGACCTCTGCGAAAGCACTGCTGAAGTTCTGTGGTGTGCGAGAGACCACGACAGCGATCTGGAGGCCGAACACACTTCGCCCAGCCGCGCGAGCTTGGTGGCCTCAGCCACGAGCACCGACAACAGAAGAGAGCAAATCAGCAAATCCTTCAAATCCCTACGCTTCTCACCAAGGCACCGGAAGTAAGACCAGCCTGGGGAGGCACAATCTATCCAACATCTCATGCTTACAGTGCAGTGCAAGTCGACGGTCGCAAGCCTGCAGGTCCATCAATTCCCGCGAGCCAGGTATCGCCCGTAAACCTGACCGTCAAGCATGCGAATGATTGCGAACGCACCTGCCAGATGCTGGCAGCTTGAGGCTTTGAGGATCATGCCATTTTGCAGCTCCTGCATTGCCTCGTGGTGATGCCCCAGCCTGGCAGCAGACGAGCAGGATTAGAAGCCCATCGGTCCCACATAAATAGAAGGCAAAGGCGCTCCCAGGTGGCTTTGACCTTTCGGATCGAGGATCGAGAAGACGTGGCTCCAACACAGGAAACTGAAATGCCGGCTCGCGGCAAGCAGCAGCCATCCCTTCGTGTAGTCGCTTTTCAGCTTGACGCAGCGCTGTGCATCCTTAGGCCCACATGGCGGAAAGGAGCAGTTGCCGGCAATAGTTCGCAAGTGGGGCCTCGCGGCACTTCACCCAGTCTTCCACAGCCTCTGTACACATCTCTGCACATCAGCCATCACCATAGTATATTAGATGCCACAGTTTGCCCACCCGAGCCTGGTAGCACAAAGCTCGATTGCCAAACCTCTGCAGCACGGCAAGCTGCGCTTCATAGGGTTGGAGAGTAATTGTGCCAGTCGGTGAGTCTTCTGTTGCAACGGCCGGGAACTATAAAGTTGTACAATCTTACAAGGCGAAAGCCGTGCCACGTACAGCCGGTCTCTCTACACGGGCCGACTGGCAAAAATGTCAGAGGTGCACGGTGAGCCTAGCATGCGAGAGGCCCTTCTGAGCAAGATTGCTGGGCAACTTCTGCCTACGACGTACGATGTGATGGCATGCCCTAGGCATACCCCATGCACACAACGATGTCTGGCAACTGGGTTTCTGGCAGCCGGTGGTCGTTCGGAAGGAAATGCAAAGCCTGGCCAAGGGCAGCCAACAACCCGCATGGTTTGACTGGCTCGCTGAGAACACCAAGACGGTTGGCTCTTTCGGCCTTGCCATACTCGGCCATGGCAGCCTGAAAGAGCTTCACCGACTCCTGCCTGGGCAGAGGTCAATCTCGGACTCGTTCTCAAGCTGATCTCAGGCCGTGGAACTTTGGCCTCATACGTGCTGCCGTTGCACAGGAGGAACTGACATCACCATAACATCACGCGCACACACACACACGCACCGTGTCACACATTCACATAAACGCCCGAACGAGCGAAAACAAACCAGGGAAACCCTAGTAAACATAAAGCGAACGAGCAAAGAAAAAAACACGGGGTACGATGATAACAAGAAACAAGTCCGGGAGGCAGTTCCTGAAGTTGAATACTTCCAGAAGTCTCCTAGTCAGTGTGTGCACTATAATACTACAGCCTGGAAATCCGAAGGGTTCAAGCAAGGTTTGCTCAGACATATGTCTAGAAATGCATGCACCTAGTGAATAGTGTGTCCATGCACCTTCTGGAATTGCTGCTAGGGACGTCCGTGCTGTTTCAAACGAAGGCTGGACTACGGAGTCTACAAGACAGGGAACGCCTGGAAACGGTCCGGCTGCGTGCGCTCTCTGTGCCACACGGCATGCGCATCTAACCCTGCAGCTCGTGGCGACAGATGTCGCCCAGCTCCGGCAGCCAGGCGCTCTGCAATGCGAAAACACACACACACACACCCGCGCGCGCGCACGCACACACAACTGCGCTGCAGCTGCAGACCAAGTCTAGAAGTTTGCTCTGGCTTTCCTCCGTCTAGCAGTTCGGCGTCATGCCTCTGCACACTTATTGGTTCTTTGGTGGCTTCCATAGTCTACAATTCACATCCCGCATGCATGCGTGAATGCATGTCCACCAAAGCATAGTCAATCGGCGAGTCAGACGCAAAGTTGTCTCAAACTGCTTAGGCAGCAGCACTCCACGCAAATTGGTGTAAGGATCTGCATTTCGAGCCACTTCTCGAGCCTGTTGCGACGTCAACCACATCAATGTTGCACATCGGGCTGCCAAACTACCGGCTTCGATTGCTGACAGTGCCGTCCTTGCAGTACAAGTCGTTCCCCTGACGTCGAAATACATTGGACCTGCCAGGACATGAACGTGTACAGCGCGGGCTTTAACCACCAATCCACCTCTCCAGTGGTGTTCCGACGACCTCCGCCAAGAGTAGCTGTCAGATGCTGTTGGACCCGTCTGACACATGAGCCGTCCTGGGAGCCCTCGGGCAAGTAGCTACTCGCCATGGCAGCTCAGCATACGGCCTGCGTGCTGCGAGAAGGCCACCGCAGAAGTGATGGAAAAGAACCACAGGGGTTTGAACGACATGGATTCGTCCCGTATTTGCAAAGAACAGCACAATTGACTCAGCAATAACTGGTGACAATGAGGCCCTTGGCTGCCCACCGTCATGCGATTGAAGCATCGGTAATTCCACTAGAGCGCTTAAGCTAGCACCCATCTGCACTTTCACCATGCTTCACCCATGCACCGAGACCGGTTTGCCGAATGACCGTATACTTCCATGTATCTGCAGATTGCTGTTCGACTGCTTCGGGAGGGCGTTCTCATGAATCATACGCTTGCTCTGGAGCACACATTTCGTGAAGACAGCAGCTGCTCGTGGCAAGGACACGGCTAGATTCATTTTAGATCATTTGAGACGCATGGCATCGGTCTTCCTCTCTGCTTGCCGAGAACAGCGACTTTATCTTCGCAGACTACTGGTGAAATCAAGCGGGAACTGGGAAGCAAAGATGCCAGCGCATCACTTGACCTTGCAAGCATTCGGACCGGCTCCGACTGTGACTGTGGCTGCAGCGTCGAGGGTTGGAGCCTTTTTCTTGGCATCTGCTGCACTGACGAGGGAGAGGGTCTCGTCCTCTGCATAACCAAAGCGCGCCTCACAGTCCAACATAAAACTCATGGAATGGTCAAAACCGGTCAGGTCAACTTCCCAGCGGCCTCGTGTCTCTTGAAGATGCCAACGACAGCATCAGCAACCTCCTGGTGCACCTGGCGTGTCTCAGGCCAATATCCACATCCTGCTATTCATCTCTTTTTTTCATCTCTGCCAGAGCACCTCGTTCAAGTACGTCTCGTCAACCGGCTTCTGTTGCGTCACCTTGTCTGAAGCGCTGCTGAAACAGGGGCTTGGCCCTCTCCGGGCTTCGACGCCTTAATGGGCTCGCCCCAGACGTAGCCAAGTGGAGGATCCAGAAATCCCATGAGAGTAATCCCTCGTCCACGCAGCCTCAGAAAGGGTGAAAAAAACGACATCCGCGTGAAGCGCCACGTGAACGGCAACAAGGTCTGCACAACGTGCCACTCATCCTTGGCAGGCACGTCACGTACGTCCGTCTCAGAGTCTGCGCCGACACGGCTGTGAGACAGGCCTTAGAGGCCGAAGGAGCCTCTGAATGAAGTGCGGGAGCCTGATGGTGTGGTGAATCCACCTCGCTTCTTGCTGGTTCATGCGTCGAAGACTTAGCACACCATCTTTCATGCCATGGGCACTTTTCGCCGAAGCAGAAGCCGGGGATGATGTCCATGCCACTTTCAATGGCAAGCCTTTGCTGGCACAAGGGATATCACATGATATCACCACGCATGTCAGGCCTAACTGTTGGATGCTCTCTCTGTAGCCACGAAGCTTCACGAAGCCCTTTCGGTCTGTCATCACAAGCTGCGTGTCCTGGCAGCGCGTGGGTCCGGATTTGCCTGGCGAAGTCTGCTCCATCCTTGGACTCGCCATCCGTAAGGTTCATTTCGTCAATGCCGCCAGGTAGCAGGATGATGTTCTCCCCTGCAGGTTCTCAGGTTTGCCAGTCGCTGAAGTTGTGATATGTTGTGCTATAACCCGGCTATGACTCAGAGATGCCTCGTCGAACGGCCCGCTCGAGGGTCGGCCTTGTGCGCAGTCTTAATTTTCATTTTCGCGCGTTACCGACATGCAACCAAGCGTAGCCCATACACCAGACGCTATTGGCTCAGTTCGGCGCTTTGACGCATCGATGCAACCACAGAACAGGGACATTTCCCGAATGCCTCATCGCTCTCGCCGGGGCAGGACAATGCACCTAGTTTCGTCGTCAGACAGATTCTCTTTCCACACCTGGAAGGAAGAATGCTGCACCGAAGCTTCCCCAACCTGAACCACAGCAGGCGCTGGCATCGCGAACTGAAGAGCTTCGAGCGCACGAAGCAGACGATGAATGACTTTGCCCGAGGCTAAGGCGGGCGGCGATGCCTCCGGCAGCGAACCCATGACGTTTGGTTTACCACTGCCGCCAAGATCTTTGACGAAGCATTAACATGGATCCTGTCTTCTAAAGTTGCAGGCTAGCACGGGGACTAGTGTTGGAGAACCACGTCTTCGGACTCCGGTCAAGCGTTGCCTTGCCTGGGAAAAGTGTCCGCCAACAACCAACTCCACCGGAGAATGCGCGGCAGACACCATAGACACCTCCGAAGTATTCAGAAGGACAAACAGTGATAACAACGGACAAGACCTCAGGCTTCCACCGTGTGGATACATGGCGAAGAGGTACTTCCCCTAGCTTGATTACTCGACTCATGTGCTTTGCATGCTTCCCGCACGCAGTCAGCGGCCTTGGAATCTGGAGCTGGGCCTTCTCGAATTACAGTGGCGTCGTGATAGCTGAGGACATAATCCACCAGAGGGCCATAGAGCAGCCTGGCAAGGCGTCTCGGCCCCGGCCTCAAGGCGGAAGCTCTGCCACCAAGGTTCCAATGGAAGGGCCAGCCCTTGCCCAAATGAGGTCTATGTGCCTGGCAGCGTCTGTGCATCAGAAACAAACTTTGAAGGTTAGAAACTCAGAATCGAGCGACAAGCTGTACAGTGTATAGCAAGGAAAAGCTCCAGAGCTTCGCCCACGAGCACCACCCGAGAGCCCATGGAGACCTTAGTCCGATCTCAAACAGAGAATACGGAAAGGACCCTGATTGCCAAAGCTTCCAGCAAAGCCAGCCACACCAAAGTGCCGACCTTGCTTGCCGAAAGCGCAGTTCCCAGCATCAACACAGATTGACGTGGGAACCACGTAAGGAAATTATGGCTCCTCGCTTTCATCTGTTTCTCGGGCTCAGATTTTTCGCCAGGAACCCTGTTTCGAAACATCCCCCCCCCGGCTTGCACCTGTACCGCGAGCTCCCCACATGTCCTGTTCTGGCTCCTCGTCCACGGCAAAACACCGGCTCAATTCGCTCCATTCCTCCGCCATCTATAGGCCTACAGGCGAAACATGTGTTGGGATTCCCTTCCCCTTCCGCGAGCTTCACGGACGGACTAGATCGAATTACAGCTTAGCCTCTATTGTCCTGAGATGGAAAACATAGGAGAGTTCAGAGTTCGTCCCCCTTGTCGCTGAGTTGTCGCAACAAACCGGCTACACATCCTTTGCATGTTAAGACTGGCCATGTGGGCAACAAGGCAACGGTCGCGTGATGTCCTTGTGCCAAAGGGTTCCGCATAGACGTGTTTACACGAGCAGACCCCTCACCCTGGCTTGCAAGCAGCATCTTCACAGCTTCTCTTTGGTATTCAAGCAAATCACGCACGGCTCCAAAGAAAAGGCTGCTGTTTCGTGGCGCTCTCGCCCTCTCTGTGCTTTGGACGAACGGTTGGTTGTACCTTTTCTGCTTACACATTTTTCGGTGTTTACATAACTGTATAGTTGAGAGGGGTTCACACCAACCTCATCCCTCGCTTACTTGTAACTTTCCAAAAACCTGTTGGTGGCCTTGCAGCTTTGAACCTTCTTTGAAGTTTATTTTCGGCGCTCACAACGTTGTGAGTTTGGCTTACGACCTCGTAGGGTTTCGGGTTCCCCACCCAGCATCTTTCTCTACAGAAAACAACGTCAAGGGTGCCCGCGTTTTTTGCCCGCGTTTTTAAGATGTAGAAACCATGTCGTACTGCATCGTAGCAGTTTCAGAACATCACGCGCTGGTGGCATGTAGGATTTATCGAGAACGCGACGGGATTATCAGGCGCAAGGCGGGGGCTTCTCAGGCACATGGAAAAGATTTTTCAGGAACATGCAACAGATTCCCCAAACTGCAATCCCTAGGCCCTGAACCCTAAGCAAAACGTGCACATGTGAATGCTATTTCCTGCGCATGTTCTTGATGATGCACGCATATCTTTGATTAATCGCTCGCTTGTCTCTGATAAAGCTGGCCTGTATTCCCGAACCATAGCACAATGAATACTCAAGAATAATATGAGACAGACAGCTCCCTACATATATATATACGCATGCATATATATATATATATATATATACACACACATACATATATAACATATGCACATACATA